AGGGGTAAAATTAGTAGTCTGTAACCTAATATGTTCTGCTACAAATAAAACCATGTCTGCAGGAGGTGGTACCAGTGGTGCCTTTGGGGCAGGAATGGCCGGTGCTCCTTTTGATCCCGTGCAGTTTATAAAGAAACCACAAGTTATACTTAGGCTTGGAAGCACGGTATGCATGAATGACGATTGTTAGGTTCTTATAGATTGTCAATATCATATGAAATTATCTCCCTTTTCATTCTATGATCAACAAAAATCAGTCAACAGATGATAGAATTACCATCAACAGCGAGTTATGAATTTTAGTCAGTAATGTTTTAACCATGTTAACAGAAAAACTATTTTTAAGTTATAATAATGAGGTGATAAATTGTAGATTATTGATGTTAGAAATATTTTATCATGGACTAGATCTGTTTTTTTTTCTGCAAGGATTTTTAATCTATTTTTAGATAAAAAGTATTAAAATCATGTGATCTTTTCTTCTCTGATTATTCCAAACAATGACACCAGTATGTTTGGTAGATCTAATTAAATATAAAGACAAGTGCTATTATGTTCTTCATGGAAACTTTATATATAAAAAAATCTATTGCAAAATACATGCTCTCACATGATTTGGTCTTGCATGATTGGATAAATAATGTAATATTAGCAAGTCATTATAACTAAATTATTAATACTCAGGTTGTAGACATTGACATTTGCAAGGTCAACTTACATCCTTATGGTAGAAAGTTCTGTGGTTAAAATCAGATGTGTAAGATGTTTCACAGTACAACTACTAGTAGTGTTGAATAATCGGGAAAATTTCATAATCGATAATCGGTCAAAATCGGAGAAGCTTAATCGATCAATCATTGAAATAATTGGTAATTCAAATTTCAAATGCAAAATTCTATTTCTTATTTAGCATTTATCATTTATCAGATTTATGGAACAAACTAAAAATAAACTTTTATCAAGTTTATTCTAAGGCCATATAAAATTAATCTTTAGATTCTCATCCCCGCCCGCCCCACTCAAAATTTACCGCCCCGATGTTTTTTATTTTGATTTTTGGGTATTTTCATGTATTTTTATTCAGTAAGAATTTTTGTCAAAGTTAAAGAGTTATCTCCCGCATATATTAAAAGTCACGTGTCGCTATTTATAGCAAAAACGCCATGTGAAGAATGGAGAAAAATCGGCAATAAAACCAGTTTAAATGTGTAAGGAAAAGATAATTTGTCAATATAGAGAAGGCAGAGAAGAAAAAATAGCATAAACACATAGTTATAGATACCATCACTGGCAGGAGCAAGTATGTAGAGAGATTGTAACTAAGTAAAAATAGACGAGGAAAATGACACCTGGTCAAGTTATATATATAACGATCTCCAGCTGTGTGACTTTGCTTTGAAATAAAAAAAATCTACAACATCGTAGACAGACTTAAGAGAAGGCCTAGATTTTTCAGTAGAATAATTATTAGAACATTTATATAGATTTTGCAAATTAAGAAGTCACGCATACACAATTTATTGCTATCCCCACCTCATTTTGTTCAGGGTGTGCCGTATAATGTGTACTTGATAATTTGTTAATTAACAATAAATATTTAATTTTTAAAGCAAAAATTTTCATTAAATATTTAAAAGAACATGAAAAAAATTAAATCTATTTATATTTGCATTAAGGTAATGAAAAAAATGTGTACCGGGCGTCCATTGTTATGTTGATACTTAGGCCTATATATAAATTAACAATTATAAAAAATAAAAAATAAAATCTGCCTACCCGCCCCAATTTTTTAGCAAATTAGGATGAGAATCTAAAGATTAATTTTACCTGGCCTAAAGACAACTTTTTTGTTGTATTAGTAACAAAGAAACAGAATTTTTTTTTTTTTACATATTTGCTCATAAAACTAAAAATGTTTGTCATGACATCAGATTTTGCATTCCCTATTTAGAATAATCTGATTGTTCTCGGTACAAGCCCTCACCACAGTTAGAATACGCCCATATATTTGCAATGTAGCAAATCAGAGCGGATACGCTCCGACATGACTTTGAAGAATATAAAAGGATTTGCACTGGAAATAACTTCCAAATAAATCAAAACAATCCTTTTGGAGATAGTTTATGCATTTTATCCGACGAAAATCCAATTAATGTTCTCAACATTTTTCTCTCGCTTCAATTTTACCTGCCATGTTTACATTCGGAACTTGTCCGTAGTAAATTCACTGAGTATGATTTATTTCCTGTGTTTCTTCTGCTACATTACGAATACGGAATGAATTCTATCGTTAAACCGGGTCCATAGGAAAATATCATTTTAACGACAGAATGTTCTATCTATGAATTCCTTGGATATGGGTAAATTTCTACTTGATTGTTGTTAACTTCGCCTTCGGACGCCATTTTTGTTGACCTCCTTTCATTTTACATGTATTGTTATTGTGTATGTATTAGTTTCGTTCAATTCATACAAGTTTATTTGGGCGAGTTTATTTGGGCGACTATCGATTATGAAAAACGTAATCGATAATTGGAATCGAACACCCAAAAACGATCGACAATCGATCGTCGGCGACAATCGTTTCATCACTAACAACTAGTGAACTACAAGCGGTTAATTTAAATAATACAGTAGTAATACAGCATATACACATGCAGAGCTGCAAAACTTGCAATGCATAAATATTTGCACCACTGGAACGTCTTGTCTCTTGGTGGGTTCAAACTTGACCTGTACAACATGCGAAAACATTGGTTTTCACTGAGGATTAATAAGTCATTAAGCATGTTAAGTGAATTAATATAATTTATATCATTAGTATCACAGGATTGTCCCTATCGAAGAATTGAAATAGAAGGGGATATTTGGAAAGTCAATGGGGATCAAGGGTTCCTCTCCTAATTGGGAGTTTAGGATGAGTACCAAAATAACAGGGAGATTACATCTTTTATACAGGTGGGGATATTCCCCTAAGGGTCATCTAAATTTTTTTGCACAACAAAAGCATGTTGCAGTTGATCTAGCTATGCAAGTAAAACTAGTGATAGCTATATAGTCTTTTTTATCATGTTTATACCTAGCTTAACTATTTTTTAAACAAGCAATTGAAAACACAAGGAAAATATACAGCGGCCCCTCTAGGCCCTTAATTTTAGGGGCCAGCCCTTTTTACTAGATATGATTTGAAAGATCTGATATAAGAAACTATTTTTGTGTTTTATATAAATTATATTACAATATGATTTTATGGTTTCTATTTCAGCTGTTTTCAATCATTGTGTTTGGCTGTATATTAGCTGAGGGGTGGTATGCAGGCCACTGTCAAATGAATGATGACCCTAATGCATGTGGTTATGGAACAGGAATTGGAATCATTGCTTTTCTGCTCTGTTTAGGATTTTTAGTTCTTGATGCTGTATTTGAAAACATCAGCAGTGTGCAGTATCGAAAATATGTTGTCCTCGCTGATATGGCTATCTCTGGTAAGTAAACTTAATAACCAGGAAGGTAATTATCAGATATAATTATATGTAGGTCAGATAGTAGAATTTTTAGTCAATAGTGCAAATTGAATGGCAGTTTTTTTTTAATAGGTTATCTTTTAAGATAAATGTATCTCATTGCACTCACACAGTATTACTTGTAAGGTGTATCAATACATTTTATGCTTGTACAAACATGTTATCAGAAAAAGTTTTATTTTAATACACATATGCAATGTACTAAAATGTTCATATTACCGGGTAATTAATATATATGCAAGGGTTGACTGGAAAGTTTGTGGACCATGTCAATGTTAATTATACAATATTCAAGAAATTTGAAATGAACATACCGTATAGCGGGTTTTCTTGACGGGTGTAAAATTTAGCGTTTTGTCTGCTCAAAGGTATGCTAATAATTTTAGCGTAATTTATTTAAGTGGACACAGGCTTTCAGCTCTTTCCAGATGGACACTAAAATGAGTACTGACTATTTTGGTGATGAAAATTTTAGCAGATTATCATCCAAACACCAAAATTAGCACCCCACTAAAATAACCTGCTATATGGTATTATATGGTATTATGATATATAAAAAATAGCAAACTCAACAGCATTGTAATGTCAAAAACATCTTGTAGCATCTTGAGATTCTCAAAAGTAAATTTTGTTTATCAATATTATTTAATTTCAATATTAAAGCTGAACTGATATTTAATATATTTATGCCCCCATAATTGAACAGTGGGGAGTATACATGTATAGATTTTGCCCTGTCTTTTTGCCTGCAAAAACTTTCTCAATAACTTTGGAGTGGATGGAGCTAATGGTTATATTTTACATGTGTATTCCTTGTGAGAAGTCCTTTTGTTGGGTACAAACATATTTAACCTCTTGACCTTGGCCTTGGAGTTTTACCCACTATTGCAGAAATTACTTTTTAACCCCAGCCATAACTTTTGAACAGTTGGTGCCAGCTAGGGCTTTCATATTTCACATATTTATACATTTTGACAAGACAATTCCATGGGTATGAATATTTTTGACCTTGACATTAGCTATTGATCCACTTTTAAAAAACTTCAACCTGTAGCCCTAACATTTGAACAGTTGGTATTTAGGCTTTCAAATTTCACAGATCAATGCATTTCTTAATTGTGACAAGACCTTCCTGTAGAAACCAACAATCTTGACATTTTGACCTTGGTGTTTGACCTACTTTTGAAACACAATAATCTTCATCATAACATTTGAACAATTTGTGCTACGGCTGTTATATTTGGCCTATACATGTATGTATTTCTTTTGACAAGTTCTTCCCTTGTGTACTAGTACCTTTAATTTTGACCCTATGACTTTGAACTTGGAGTTTGAACCACCTTTAGAAAACATTGACCATAACTTTTGAATAGTTGGTGCTTGGGCTTTCATATTTATCGATACCAGGTACAGTATATCTATTGACACAAGTTCTTTCTCTGGGTAACATCTTTGATGTTAGAGTTTGACTTGTGTTTGTGAAATTAACCTTTGTCATAAAATGCCATACAGGGGCATCAATGTTTCACAAACACATCTTGTTTGTCTATTTTTTGAAAAAAGAAATACTATGTACTCAAACCTGATGAATAAACATTCGCTGAAAATTCAGCTTCATCATGTTCATATGTACATTATATTTCAATAAAATTCCTTCACTATTTTACAAAACATTTAACTCACATGTATACTTGTATAGCCTTACCAAATGTTTTCAATGTGCTCTTTCATCGTACCTTATCAAGATTATTTCAAGATACACTAAACTGTAGATGATTCTCTTAACTCCACTTCTCTGAATTTCAGTGGCTCATTGTGAGATCTACTGTACAGCAAGTTTGTAATTATGTTTTAGCTTCATGCTGAATTAAAAAAAAAAAATGGAAACACATGTTGCATTAAATGAAATGTACGTATATGGGAACCAACATGCCAACTAAGAAACCAATGCATCAACAGACTTTTCTATGAATACATCACTGTCAAATACACCCAAAGAATCATTGATTGGGGTCAGAGCATAGAAATTTGCCTTCACTTTTCCTATAAGGACTTCTCTGTGGTGTAACACTTATTGACAAGGATGCAGGGCAGCAAAAACATTTTCCAGAAGCTCCAAGGATCCTCCTTATACTGAAGAGAAAAATCAATAGCCTCTGGCATAGTCTTCAGATCAATGTTGATACTCTTTGCATTAACACCCAAAGTCCAGTTAATAGAGAGCAAGTTATGGATTAGGTTTTACTTTGTATAGGAGAATGTTTTGATGTGGGAAAGCCAATGACTGAATAAACAGAAATGGATTTTGATCATTTTCAGATAGCCTGCTCATTTATACTTATTGCACATATTTGATCTTGAATGTGAGATGTTTGTTTGGCCTAGTAATAGCTGAGTTTCTTTAGTTAAAAAAAATCATTTCTGAGCTATGAATTTTACATTTCAATTTTTTGAAAAGAAATTTTTAATATTGATGATGATTTTTAGGACTGTGGACTTTCCTGTGGTTTGTGGGATTCTGCTACATGACAGATGCCTGGAGAAAATCAGATTCAAACAACCATTCATATGTAGCTCCTCATGACCATGGCAAAAACAATATCCAGGCGGCAATAGCTTTTTCCTTCTTCTCTATTATAACTTGGGTATGAGTATAATTGAGTCAGCCAGATTATTTAAAAAGCAGGAAGAAACATGATATTGTTGAGCTTTCCTTTTAATATCCAATCTTTTAGTTATTTTTTTCATTCATAATCTAGTGTTTGCTGTATAAGGAAATAATTTTTTGATGAAACAGTTTCCCTTGATTAAAATAAAACAATGATTTTTTTTTTATCTTTTTCTTCAGTGGCAAGTCTTTCCTTCCTGAATTTTAGAACAATGATATTTCCTAGTTATAGAGCATTTTTAAATTATAAGTTAAATATATTTAAAATCGCTAATTTATTTAAGCGCTTTGTTTACTAAATTAAAGAAAATGCCAGCTGGAATGTAAATTATTTTTTCTTAAATACAGGGCGGTATAACTTTCTTTGCTGTACGTCGTTATCGTGAGGGATTTGAGGACGCCTTTGCCCCGAGAAGTGGCTACGATGATCAGACCCAGTCTTCTCCTTACTCCTCCTTTCCCGGTAGTGAGACGGGGGACCCCTACCAGCAACCTCCATTTGCCACCCAGAAAGAGGCTCCAAACTTCCAACAGACCCCTACATATTAATTTAGAGATTATCCAACAAAATCTTCAAAGGACAAATGTGTACCTATAAGTCTGATGTATAAGTTAGTGTAGAGGAGTTACATGTTGATAGGAGTAGATAAGTTATTACTGCTTTTTATGTGAGAAGTTTTCATTTTACAGTCTTCTTGTGTGTTTTAGTTGAGTGGAGCATAAGTATGTTTGGATTATGCTGTGTAATTGAGATGAGTTGGAAAAAGATGTTTTTGGCATATCTGATGTCATTTCATGTTTTAGCACTTTGGATAATTAATGGGTGTGTAATTTTGTTTTCTGGATCTCACTAGAAGCTCACTTATTTATTGTTAAAGTAAGCATTTTTCATCAACATATCTTTGATTAATAAGTCACTTTCAAGGGACATTTATGTTACATGTATACAATATGGATTAATGCCCCCCCCCCCCCCAAAAAAAAAAAAAACAAACTGTGAGAGAAGACAAAGTTTATTATTGTTGATTGTGGTAAATTTTATAATCTGATGTAAGCTTTAATTGTATTAATTAGTGAAATGCCAAAAAAAAATAAAGCATTTTCATTTCTTTACATTTTATTGGTGAATAAAGCATAAGAAATGTAGAACAGAACATGAAGTGTCTTTGCATTACAATACATATAACATTCAAGGATAAAATATTCTTTAATATCTGTGTAATTGTTGTAATTGATAGGCCAGTACTACAAAATAATATTCCCTTTTCTACCCCTGAAGATACATGTATTTGGGAAGGGGAATGACCATCATATATTGAAGAAAATTTAACAGTGACTTGGGTGTAGCAAAGGACTATAATCGGTATTGGCCAGTATGTGATCCTCAGTTTGATAGGAAAAAATGTCCTAACTCACCACTTGAAAGACTTTGAAAGAAAACTGTTTTATTTAAGATTTTTTATAAATAAAGTATACATGTACATATACATGTATATATATGCACATTTCAATGGATTTTCCAAATATGAATTTAATTTGGGCAGAAATCTGCTTTTATAACTAAATTAAGTTCTTTACAGTAGAAATATGTTGTTGTAAATTTATCATCGAATCAAAAGGGGGTCACAGTAACTTTGATATGGGGAATGTAAAATAAGTGGCACACCATGCTCATGAACAGATAGTTATTTGGAATAATTTTGGAAGTCCCGAGCATTCATTTTTCTGTGAAAATGTTTGATATTTTGTATTTAAAATGTTTATTATGATATATACCAATATGGTTTAATTTATAGAAATCCATAAACAGTGTAGGTGCTGTTTTATATATGTATGTTATGTTGTGTAGATTAGATATACTTTACATTCCATTCTGTGCTTTCATTTCCTTGCATAAATTTCCATATATTACATGTTAGGAATGACTGAAAACAAAAATGAAACAGAATCCAAACAAAGAGCTATGTAAACAGTTGATTAAGCATTTACAGTAACTGGCTTTTTTGATGAAAGAGGTACCCGTTTTAACAAAATAATTTGATTTTTGGAAGAAAAAAAGGGAGAGATGTAACATTTTACCATGCAGTGCTCAATCCTGATCATTTGAAATTTAATGTCTCAATGTAAGACTTTAATAAATCAAATGCTTAAATAAGGAATGGAAAACATTCATACATGTATATTGGTCAAGAATATAGCATAATCAATTCATGTAAGGCAAAAATATTTTCAGTTTAAAATTTATATGAATATTACTATATCATGTATCTTTTTATTGTTTACTGCTTTTTTCCTCATTAATAGAAGTCATTGCACAATGTATATCATATTTGCAATATATTACTATCAACTCTGTTGCAATACTACAGAACTACTATCAAGTCTTGTCATCTTCAGAATGCTCTTCTGTCTGTGTTAACAATGCTTAAAATTAAATTTAGAACTATGTCCTACCTTTGAAGGAAAAAAGGAGAACGTTGAGAATTTACAGAATTGGTAGTTTTCTGACTTGAACAATGCATTGATACAGATTTTGGAGAAAGATTTCACTGTATATGTAGTATAATAAACATTAGTTCTCTGATGCTGGAATAATGAAAAGCATTCTCGACTTTGTTCTGTACACTTTGTTCATACTTTTGTTTATGTGTATTTTTTGTCCTTCGACCAAAAATAAAAGAACCGCTGGACATGGGGACAGATACAGAAATGGACACAGGACAGGCCAGCATGGAAGTCTCTGGTGACGGCCTTATGTGCTATCCAGCACGAAGAGGATTAAAGATAAAAAGAAGATTTTTTGAGATATTTAGATGGTGTGCAAGGGTTTATAAGCGTGAATATAATTTTTTTTGTATAATAGTTGAGGGGTGTATTTCTTTACAGTTTTTCTCTTCATTGTAGTTAATTCATGTACACTTTCGTTCCTTTTTACTGCATTGGTTGTGGTTTCTAATATTTAAAATTTGATACATGTATATGTATGTATTTCAATCCAGGATGCTGCAGTGCTCATTGTTTTTGTTTGTTTTTTTTTTGTATGAAGCGGAGAAGAAATTAGGTGATATGTAATGTTTCTACATTGGTGTGGGAATAATTCAGGAAAGGAAACTACTTTTCATACATCTACTAGTATTTTCTTTTTATCTAAAGCTTAAAACCAAATTTCATGCAAGAGGAAATAAAAATACAAATTGTTAGAATAAATATGATCATATAATAAGAATATAAATAGAATGTGGCCATTTTATTAATAACAAAAGGTACCATTGAAAATTTTGCGTGGAAGATATGAATATTATAAATTATAGATATAAAAGTGAGATTTAATTTATTTTAGAATATATGCAATAGTTAACTATTGGTAGAATAAAGAATCAATACAAAATGTGTTTAATTGTATATTTGTTATTCACTTACTTTCTTATTGAACCTCAATTTAAGAGGTATTTATTGACATACTGAAACCCAAAATGCATTACCCGTTCTAATACATTTAAAACTTTAGTAATATTGAAAAACAAGTTTTAATTCTGTTGAAGAGTTACATCCCTTCATATTAAAACTTCAGAATATCTGTTGAAAATAACTATTTGCTTGAATATGTGAAAGAGGAACAATATTGATTTCTGTCCCTGAGAGAAAACCAGTCATAAATTTAGTTTGACAATATTAAGTGTTGTGTTCAGTAACTAATGTTGGGTAATTTGAAGATTTTTGCAAACAAGTAGTATAAAGAAATGCATTTTCTAGTTGTCACAGTGTGTATTTTTTATCTTTTTGGCTTTAATGTGAGTTATCACCTGCAGTAGTCAAAGAGACCATAGACTCGTGATTGTTTAGTGAGTAATATTTTACATAGGATACAGGCATTTAGTATCTGGGAGGGGGTGAACCCCTCCCCACTTCCCCCCAAACATAACCTTATACTTTTGATAATGTTCATTGAGAGACTAGTTACACCCTCCTCCAAACCTTTTGTTGTAACATAGTTTTAATAATAGTAATTTATAAAACTAAAACATTAATTAATAAATAAAATTCGCTGTAAGTGGTGAAGCAGAGCATCCCCATCCCCCACAAACTTTGATTTTTGGATTTTGACAATGTCCCTCCCTTTTTTTTTTTGCTTGTTGAAGATGTTCAGATAGGATTTTAATTAAGATTAAAAGGTTTTAAGATCAAGTGTCCCCCACTTAATAAAACGATACTGCATGTCCAAGGTACTGAAGGAGAAACATCATAGATGAAAGAAATTGATTTTTTAAATAGGGTTATATATGTCTTTTGTAAAATTGCATTTAATGTGTACACTTGCAGATGATTATAACATTTATATTGTACTCCAACCATTCTAATTTTTTAGATTACATATACCAGTAGTGAAATAAATGTTGAACAGTACATGTAAGTAACCTTCTCAGATACCCATAAGTTTTGATTAATAACAGTGACTTTAAGTTGAGTGTACATGCATTTCATTTTGGTGAACATGTCAACACTAGGAAAATTAATATCCTACAAAAGTCTGTACCAAATATCGCACATTTTGTCAAAATCTTATTTTATGTTACTAGTTCTTTCTGTTGCATAATATAAACCAGAGTGTATACAAGACCAGTACTAAATTTATGTTACTGCAGTAAAATATTATAAAATCACTCTTGTCTGTTATCATTATGAAATGAAGTCTTCATTAATACTTTATATGTGTGCGAGGATCGTCCATTAAGTTATACTGTTAACTTATTCCCTTCATAAAGACTACACTGCCCAATGTAGACCACAATATATTAAGGTGAAATATCCCTCCACTCCAAATTTCACCATTTTAAAAAGAATTCATCATCAACAAGGGCATTAGATTAAATTGAGAAAAAAAAAAGATGTATGAAGCGTTGCTTACTTTTTCAGAAATGAATGTCTAATGATATGAAGAAAATTTGATTTGTTAAAAAGGAAGATCAGTTTTTTTTTATCTCACAATAAAGTTAAAAATATGAGGTACATGTGAAAATATTTACTATCATCTTTTAATTCTCATAAAAAACATGAAGCATTACTTTTTATACCCCAGTTTGAAAAGCGTGAGAGTATATATAGTGATCGGGATGTCCGTCCGTCTGTTACGCTTTGGGGTACCAATCTTTTATCTGCAATTCCTCTTACATGTATATACTACTGAATGAAATTTAATGAGACTTTCACAGGATCTTTATGAAATAGTGCCATTATTAAGCTATGGGTTAACCAATTCTTATCCACAATTCCTCTTATACCAATGAATGAAATTTAATGAGACTTTCATGGAATCTTCATAAAACTTTATAAAATAGTGCCATTGTTCACATCTCGTGCCAGCACCTACTGCGACACGAGTCCTCGGTTTATACGCTCTCATCTGAATGACCGGTGTTCACATCCCACAGTGGGACGTGGAGACCGGTCCTTCGGATGAACCGTATGAACCGAGGTTCCGTGTCGCAGTAGATGCTGGCACGAAAAAGATCCCTCTCTGCTCTCAATGACCCTAACTCCTCAATAAATTAATATTCATTGGGATCCTGCAAGCCCCCCCCCCCCCCCCCCCCAAAAAAAAATCCATACCAGATACATTGATTATGATGCTACTATTGAGATATGTAATAAAATATACGTAGGGAAGGAGTATAGTACATGCGCAGGGACTTGCTCCCGGCGAGTAAAAATAATTTAGTAAAAAAAATCATATACCGTAATAATAAAACTAGTTTTATTATTACGGTATATGATTTTTTGATAAATAATTATTACACGCCGGGAGCAAGTCCCTGTGGTACATGTATACCCCCTCCTTACATTTGAAAGTATAAAAGAATATTATACAAGGTTTAATTATATAAAAAGGTAGGGGGTCAAATTTCTATGGGGGTCATTTTTTCAACGTGTGTGGAGTCGT